TCCCCTCTCCCCTCTCGCTTTGCCTTCCCTTCACGCCCATCTGCCCTGTGCATCTTACGTCTCCAGGGGGGTGGAATAAGGAAGAGGTAGGGAGGGAGATGGAGAATGGAGGAGGAGGAGAATGGAGGAAAGAATTCCAGTTTGAGCGGAAGATTGGGCGAATAGGGGATGATCGGAGGACGACGGCGGTAGACAAGGGCGCAAGGGTCAACCCGACTAGGGGGGAGAAGGGCGGGAGTGAAGGGGAGAGCAGGAAGGAGGAAGGAGGAGGAGGAGGAAAGGGGTTCACGTACCTGGATGCGACACCACCTGGCCTCCGCGGATCCGCCCCTCATCCATCAACAGCGCCACTTGCCTTCATTATTGCCCTTTCCCTTCTATTTTCTTTTTTCTTTTTCTTTTTTTTTCTCTCTCTCTCTCTTCTCCCTCAATCTTCCCCTGCTCTTATTTAGTGTTTGCCCTTGCGCTTGCACCCTTTTTACTTTGATGGAAGGCTTTGAATTTTGGTTTGGTGCCCAGTTTCTTTGTTTTTTTATTTTATTTCTCCTAGTTTCTTGGTCCTCCATCTTCTCTCTCGCCTCATCTCTCCTCTCTCCGTCTTCTCTCTGTCTCTCTCTCATTCTCTTCTCCTCTCCCTCTCTCTTCTCTCCTCTCTCTCTCCTCTCTCTCTTCTCTCTCCCTCTCTCCTCTCTCTCTCTCCGCTCCCCCGCTCTCTCATCTCTCTCCCTCTCGCTCTCTCTCTCTTCCTCCCTCTCTCTCCCTCTTCTCTCTCATCTCCCTCCCCTCTTCCCTCCCGCTCCCCCCCCCTCTCTCTCGACTCTACTCCCCCCGTCTCCACTCTCTCTCTCCCCTGTCCCTCCCTTTATCCCTTATATCTCTATTTTTTTTTTTGCATCTCTTATTTCTTTCTACTTTTTTTCTCCACCCTTATCTCTCTAATTCGTTTTTTGTACTTGGGTCTCCCCTTCTTCCCCTCCCTATCTTTTAAGCTGTCCTAAGTGCATGGTTCTCTCCTTTCTCAGACCCTTGCCTATTCTCCCCACTTGATCTCCCCCTCCTCTTCTCCTCTCCCTAGACGCCCCCATCTCCCTCCTCCCTCCGCCCTTTTCCCCCGTTCCCTCTCTTTCCACCCACCTCCCTTCTCCCTTTTTCCTTCCCCTCCTCCCTTTTTCTACCTCTCACCGCCTCTCCTCTCTCTCTCCCCCTCTCTTCTCTCTCCCCCCTCCCTTCTCTCTCTCTCCCCCTCTCTCCCCCTCTCTCCTCCTCTCTCTCCTCTCTCTCCCCCTCTCTCCCCCCCTCTCCTCTCTCTCCCCTCTCTCCTCTTCTCCTCTCTCTCTCTCGTCCATGCGAATGCCTTCGCTGCCCACTTGGAGTAACGCTTTCGACGTCTCGGAGCCCCTGCCTCTCCTTGCCCGTGTGACTCAGACTTGTCTTGTCTGGTTCTTGCATCCCTCCTGCCTCCTCCACCTCTTTCTCCTTCTCTTTCTCCTCCTCCTCTTCCTCCTCCCATTCTTCTATTCTTCTTCCTCCTCTTCCTCCTGTTATTCTTCTTCCTCCTCCCATTATTATTTTCCTCCTCTTCTTCCTCCTATTCTTCCTCTTCCTATCCTTCTTTCTCCTCTCTTTGGGTTCTTTTAAGTTTGTTAATTTACCGTTATCACCCTATAGTGTTGCTACAGCGTCGCCTTTTAATTCCCCCCTTTCTCATATTCAATATTTTGAATTTCCTTCTCCCTTTTTTCTTAGTCTAGTTCTTGCATTCCGTGCCAAATCTTATTTATGATCTCGGAGCGTCTTGCTTGTTTATTTGTTTGTTTGACCTTGTAGAGATCCCCGCCATCCTCATCATCATTATTAACACTCATCAGTCATCGTCGTCGTCGCTCATCGTCGTCGTCACCTCATCCTTTGGGTCTCATGATCGCGTCTCCGCTTATGTAAGAGTTGGAGATATCTTGATCGCCTTTTTTTTTTTTTTTTTTATTTTTTTATTTTTTTTTACTCCGTTCTTTATTATGGATGTGTGTGTGTTTATGCATATGTATGTTTGTATGTATGATGTATTTGGTCGTTGCGTCGGTATGATATAGACTCTGATACTGATACTGCTGGAAGTGAAGCTATAGTGTGTGTGTGTGTGTGTGTGTGTGTGTGTGTGTGTGTGTGTGTGTGTGTGTGTGTGTGTGTGTGTGTGTGTGTGTGTGTACGCGAAGAGAGAAGGGAAAGATAATCTCTTTCCCTGGAGGAACGTTGCCGTTTGCGTTGGTGGAGGCCGGAAGTGTGTAATGAAACGTTGCCGCGTGGACTGATCAGCTGATTGTGTGGTTGTGTGTGTGTGTAAGGGGTAGGGGAGGGGATGATAACGGGCCGGGCCGGGGGAAGGGAGGGAAGGGGTTGAGTGGGGTGAGGAAAATGACATGCACACACGCACCCAATTAGTTTCGGACAGGCCCTTTCCCCTCCGAGCCTGCCCCCTTCTTCTCCCCCCATCTCTCTCTCTCTCTCTCTCTCTCTCTCTCCATCTCTCTCTCTCTCTCTCTCTCTCTCTCTCTCTCTCTCTCTCTCTCTCATCTCTTCTTCTTCTCTCTCTTCTCTCTTCTCTTTCTCGCGTTCGCTCGCTCTTCTTTCTCACATTTCAAGTTTTACTGTGCCATTCCTCAGTTATCATTGTATATTAACAAAAAGTAAATAGCATAGATTGTTTTCCCTACTCCTCTCTGCATTATTGACTTAGGATATACTTAAATAGGTGTGCACTTACAAATGACACACCAATCTCTCTCACACACACACGCACACACGTGTACATGAGTGTGGGTAATGTTAGCGTGTGAGTGTGGGTTGGGTTTTGGAAGCTGTGTGGTGTGAGTGCCTAGTGCCAGAGTGCCAGCCAGCCCTTAACTCTCCGCACTGCCCACCTCGACAGGCGCTGGCGGCCCCTACCCCTCGAGCGCCGTCGAGCTCGTCGTCGTCGTGCTCTGGGAGCGACGCCCCCCGCCTCCCCCCACCCCCTCGCCGCCCCTGGGGAGGAGGAGGAGGAGGAGAGGGAGGAGGAGGAGGAGGAGAAAGAAAAGGCGGCGGCGGAAGAAGCGCGGTGGTGGTGGAGGAGGAGGAGGAGGGGGAGGAGGAGGTGGTGGTGGTGGAGGAGGAGAAGGAGGAGGAGGAGGGAGGCAAGCGAGAGGGAGGAGGAGAGAGAGAGAGAGGAAGGGAGGAGGAGGTGGCCATGGCACTAGAGGACCTCCCCGTGGTGGTGTCCCTAGGATCTGCACAGGTCGCAAGGGCTTCTGCCGACGCCTAGAGGTCGGACGCCGCCGCGCCCCGCCCCTGCCCCTGCTTCTGCCTCTGCCCCTGCCCCTGCCTCCGCCTCGCCTGGCCCGGCCTCGTCCCGCCCAGGCCCTCAGCACCGATCTCGTGGGCGGCCTCTCGTAGTGACATGGTAACTATACTTGCCGGTCATATCATTGTGCCTGCTTGTGTATTGCCTCACCACCCTCCCGCCCTGGTGCTAGCTCACCCTTGCTGCCTCCCTACACATGTAAACACTTCCACATGCACACGCTCACACGCTCCCTCGGCTCCCCCATGGGCCTTGCTCGTGTGCGTACTCGTGTCTTCCAAATGTACACCTGCATGTGCGCTCTCTCTCTCTCTTTCTCTCTTTCTCTTTCTCCTCTCTCTCTCTTCTCCTCTCTCTCTCTCTCTTCTTTCTCTTCTCTCTCTCTCTCTCTTTCTCCTTTCTCTCTCTCTCTCTTCTCTCCTTTCCTCCTCTCCTCTTCTCTCGCTCTCTCCTCTCCTCTCCTCTCCGCTCTCCTCTCTCTCCTCTCTCCTCTCTCCTCTCTCCTCTCTCCTCTCTCCTTCCCTCCCTCTCTCCCTTTCCCTTCCAGTGTAACAAATGGAAATAAACTAAACCTAATCCTTTTTAACCTTCTCTCTCTCTCTCTCTCTCTCTCTCTCTCTCTTCTCTCTCTCTCTCTCTCTCTCTATCTCTCTCTCTCTCTCTCTCTCTCTCTCTCTCACACACACACACACACACACACACACACACACACACACACACACACACACACACACACACACACACACACACACACACACACACACACACACCACACACGCACACAACACACACACGCACACCACGCACACATACACACACAAAACAGTCCAGAGTATTAGTCAGTGGAGAAAGCTGATCGCTGACGGGACTGCGTGCGTGCTTCCATGCGTTCGCTGTTATCTTGTCCCGTGTCTTGCCATGGTGGGCGTGCTTGCTGTCCTAGCCCCTCCCCACCCCTCTTCACCCGCCCACCCACCCTTCCTTTCCATCTATCTTTCCATCTCTATCTCCCTTTCTATCTCTCTCCCCTCCCCCTGGATTCGTCCCCCTTTTCCCCTCGCTTGCACTTCCCTGTTCCTCTTCCCCTCGCATTCCTCTTGTCTCCTCCTGCTTAGGTCTTTCTTGCTGCTGCCGCTTTAGGTGTAGACTGGCTGGCCGGTTCGGGGGTCTTTTCACCGGTTCGTTTTTATTTACTCTTTTATTTTGCTATTTATTATGTTGTCTTTTTTTTGGATTTATTGAATTATTTTTCTTTTTTAGTTGTTTCGAATTATTTTGCGGGATTTCCCCCCCATGAGAGTGGACACTCTTTGTTACGTACAGATATTTTATTTGGAATGTGTGTATATATTTTTTCTTTGATTTGATTATTTATTGAATAGCTCGGCTATTTACTTTAAATATAATATCCAAAAGAGATATTTGGTTTTTGGTTTATTATTATTGTTTTTATTGTTATTATTGCTTATTTGTTATTGTTAAATTATTATTATTTATTATTTTATTATTATTATTATTATTATTATTATTATTATTAATTATTATTATTGTTACTATTATTATTGTTACCACCACCACTATTATTTCATGCCTTAGTATTTATTTTGAGATCCATGCTTATGTGCGATTTACTCATGTGTTTTTTTCTCTCTCCCTTACCTAGGTATACCACGTGTCGTAGTGCAACTGCCCCTCGCTGTGTTGTGAGTGCACCAAGGCTTTGACTTTAGCTACAGTTCTTCTGGCACTTTGGGACTTTCTCCAGCCTTCCATTTTTTGTTGTTTTTCCCCTCCTACTATTTTTATCACTGTTTCTGTTTACTCGTGTTTTTATTTTGGCTGCTCTTGCTTGTTGTTCTAGTGTCTGTGATGTGGATGTCTGATTTTTTGAATGTGTCTGTGTGGATGGCTCCTTTTTTGTGCAACTTCGTTTTTCTTGCGGCCAGTCGGGCCTCGATATTTTGTTTCTTTGTCTTTCAGGATTATTCTTGATAATCATTCAGAGTCTTTTCTCCTCCTGGCTCCTCCCAACTTTCTTCCTTTTTTCACTCCTCCCGACTTCCCGTTCCCCTGCCTCCCCTCTTTCCCTTCTTCCCTGCATACACCACTTCTGTCATTTTCCTTGCCGCCACCTTCTCCCTCTGTACCATGGAGGGGGAATGATAAGAACGACAAGTGAAGGGATATATCACCTTATCTCTGAAGCGTGATAAAACCGCTGAGAGAGGGGTAGGGGGGGATGGAGGGGAAGGGTTAGGCGACGCGGCCTCTTATCTCTGTCTGTGGCTCATGGGGGATCCCTCCATTACCCCCTTCCCCTCACCCTTACTCCACCCTTCCCCCGTGTGCTAACATGGTGACTAAGTCACGTGACCAAGTCAGGTAGGGAGAAGGGAGGGGTGTGAGCAGGGGAGGAGGCAAAGTACGGGCGGGGGAGGGCGGTAAGGGGGAGAGGGGATGGCAAGTGTCTTTACATGTTTGCGACTTGACTTGATGACGTTGGAAGCCGCGTGGATTTGTTTATTGTGGCATCGGGGTAAAAACGGGTAAGGCGGGGGGGGGGGGGGGGGGGTGAGAGCCGGTCGAGAGATAGGGTTTAGACAGTGGGTTGGTGGGAGGGGTTAGGGGAGGGAGAGTGTGAGGGGTGTTTGAAATCCTGTCGGCTGCCAGATTGAGAGGAAAGGGACGAGGGGAAGGGTGGCACTGTGTCGACATTATTGCAGTTATTTTCGTATTTTTGCGATCAAGGGCGTCTAGGTAGATTATCGACAGTAATTGTAAATGGGTTTATTATAATATATCTGTTATTATTTTATTTGGATATTTTTGGTATTTATGTAAATCAACAAGATTATGATGTCCGGACTGTGGTGCCAGGTGCCTGATTTAGGCGTTCGGTTTGGTTTGGTTTGGCTAGTGGTTGCTGAAGGCATACCCAGAGGGTGCCGGGGCGATGATATATCGTGTGCGTGTGCGCGCGCGCGTAGGTGCCAGGGGGAGGGCGAGGAGATCATGGGTCTCAATTACTGTCACGTCCATTACGATGCGAGGCTCGTGGATGCGTGGGGGGAGGGGCGGTAGTAAGGGGCCAGGCTGAGAATTTCTCTTCAAGCTTTATGTTGTTCTTGGAGGGATTTATCATCGACTGCGCCCCTTTTCGAGGACGAGGGCGATGGATTAGGTCGTCTCTTCTTAATATTCATGTAGGTATCACACAGGCACGCGCGCGCGCACACATGCAACTCCAGCGTGGCAATCCCACCTGCTACAGCGCTCCCCTCTTGCGTAATTTGCAAGGGATACACACTTCCTCTCTTTTTGCTCTTGCTCTCGCCCTCCCTCCCTTTCTCTCTCTCTCTTTCTTTCTTTCATGCTCTCCTCTCTTTCCGGGATGTTGATCAGCCATTGTCCTGCAACTTTGGAGTTGGAGTGTCCAGGTTTGTGTGTGTGTGTGTGTGTGTGTGTGTGTGTGTGTGTGTGTGTGTGTGTGTGTGTGTGTGTGCGTGCGCCGTGCGCATGCGCGCGCGTGCATGTGGGTGTAGATGGGGGTGCGTGCGTGTGCGTGTAGTGTCAGAGACACAGAAAGGGGAATACTTGTATAGGTGAGTTTGGTAAGTTGTTTGCTTGCTTGCATGTATGGAGGTTTATAAACAGGACACTGTGCATACGTGACTTGCCGTACCGGGCCCGTGTTAGTCTGTGTAAGGGTCATAGGGAACACGAAACCTTATGATGCGGGAAGAAAAAGGTTGGGGAGGGAGAGAGGAGAGAGAGAGAGAGGAGAGAGAGAGAGAGAGAGAGAGAGAGAGAGAGAGAGAGAGAGAGAGAGAGAGAGAGAGAGAGAGAGAGAGAGAGAGAGAGAAGAGAGAGAAGAGAGAGAATAGAGAAAATAGAGAAAATAGAGGGGGGAGGAACGAATCTCAGAAAACTCGCAAGCAGTGAGCGAGCGAGCGAGCTGTAGGAGAAGGCTGAGGAGGGAAGGAGTAGGCGCGAGGGGCAGGGGGGAAGGGGAGGGGATGTCCAAGGCAAGGCAGGGCAAGACGAGACGAGCGAGCGAGCGGGCGGACTGGCAGCCTGGCAGGCAGACAGGCGGGCGGGCGGGCGGGCGAATGGACGGGCGTAAAGCCTGGCTGGCAAGCTGGCTGACGGCGTCCGGCGTCCTA